GCGGGGGGGTGGGAAGGAGGGAGCAGCTCCCTGCCACTGCACACATTCCCAGAGAGGGGCAAGCGGGGAGGCACACACCTCTCTGATTTGTGCATGGGATGGGGGCAGATGCAAGCTGCCCACTGCAGGCTCAGGGCTCCCCCACCCTACTGTCCTCCCCACAGGAGCCACCATGGTGTGGCACCCACTGTCCACCCAGGAGCAACAATGGCAGTGGTGCAGAGTTGTACCCCTGCTGCTGCGGGTGGGCAGGGGGTACCTTGCCATGGTGGCACAGCCAGCATGGGGCTTCTGGGGGCAGGAGGAAGGCAGGAGGGCAAGAGGGTAGGGAGCCCCGAGACTGCAGTGGGCAAACTGCATCCACCCCCACCCCCCAACAGGCTCTGCTCTGCCTGTGCTGCTAGGGGGGCATCATCTGAGGCCTACCCCCCAGGCAAAAATAAAAGTCAATGCCTATGCTTCCTACTCTTTAGTTGATCCTTATTTATATACCTATTACCAGCATCTATTTCATATTCTCCGAATACTGGACAGAAAAATAACTGACCAAGAGGTAAAAAGGGAAAAGAGGTTTATTGTCATTTTCTCCACAGTTGCCATAAGTGGGTGCAGAGTTTTACCTAAACAGTGATAGTTTAGCTCTTTCCATGGGGTATGAATATACACACAGACAGGTACCACAGGGCAGCTGAGACATGATAAACCTCCACTCCCTCTTTAACTTACATACCTAGGTCATCTTCTCATACCTATTCTTTGACTAGATAGTCATGCTTTTCACTCTATTACACAGTGAAACTCTAGATACCCATCTATTAGGAATGTTGCTCACCTATAAAAGCAGAAAGCTTTCTGATTTAGTGGTAGGGCAGCTGGCACCAAAGTTATAACCTTTGAAAGATCTGTTCAGATGAGTATCTGTCAAGTTTCAGTTCACATGTAGGACCTGCATGCCTGTCAATAATTAGGGGTTTAGGTTGTAGCCGTGTTGGTCTAAGGATATAGGCAGACAAGGTTCCTTGGGTGAATTCGATATCTTTTATTAGACCAACCCAAATGGTTGGAGAATAGTTGCTCAATAACTATTCTCCAACCATTTGGGTTGGTCTAATAAAAGATATCGAATTCACCCAAGGAACCTTGTCTATCAATAATTAGTGCACTTCAGCCTTACTCTGAGCTGTTCCTGAGAAATGCAAGCGGCCCCTCATACTTTTGGCATTAAAGGTTACCTGAAAAATGTCAAGACTGTTAATTGGAGTCTGAAACATAGCTGGGTGAACTGCATTTTTATGAAAATCTAAGAGAGGTATGTGTATATCAGTTAATAACTCATTTAGTATTGTTTAGATATAGCTTGAAAACAATCAATGCACTTCTGGGGAAACGTGCAAAATTGAATCCTTCACAAGAGCAGTCAATAACCTTTTCTGTGTCTTATTGTCATTGTCAGTGTTCTTATATCCTAGCTAACAGTTATTTCTGTGAATTAAGTCACCTAAAAGCAACAGTGAAGCATGAGGTGGTGTAATGGTCCTGTCCAATTCCACCACACCTTACTTAGTTGCTAGTGTGAAACAAAATACCCCTGAGCCTTGGTGATGTTCGCACAAGAGAATCACCACACCCTGCAATGCCTCACTGCATGAAAAGAGTAACATACGTAAGGAGAACACGTAAGTGTGGATAGCTCCAAATAGGGAATCACTTGTAGATACATTGGTAGGAAGCTATCTTTTCTGTTCTATGTATGGAAAATGAACAAAAAAAACCCAACAACAAAATCTGTTTTCTGCCAAAGTTTTAAAAGGTCTAAAAGCTCATCCTTTCAAGGCTAGAGACCACCCCTGGGTTCATTATAAACACAAAATTATCTTTCTTAAACTTGTTATAACATGGGCGTGTGCAGAGTAGTTCAGCCATATACAGTGCAGTCTTACAGAAGGACTGGTACAGCTACAAAGTGAATTTCACAGCTTTCTTTGAATGCCACGATTATATTCCCAGAATGAGGGTTAGTTCAGCAAACCAGCAGAGCAGACTCAACAGTATACGCACCTCAAGAAACTCCCTTCACTCGCACACCTCCTCCTCTCTGCCTGCCCCCCCAACTAAGTCCTAGTGCCCGACTTCAATGAATATTGTTAGTGTGTGAAACCCAATATAAAATTTAAAGATGCCAGATGACACAGACTTGAGAACCATCATGGTATGTGTTCAGAACAGCAGTCTCAGATTTCATAATATCCCAGTCTTCCTAGGGTCTCTGGAGAGGTTTTCTGAGCATTTACAGTCCTTGTAATTTTATATTAGAAGCACATCTAAATTAACTATGCTTTTGAGTGCAGTGGGAAGCACTGAAGAGAATAATCTCCACATAAGTGTCAAAGTTTAAGATTCCAATTGACAAACGAAACCCCTCAAAAAAGTGCTCAGACAGAAAGAAGCATAACTTGTTCTTTACCTCTAACTAAAATCCACAATATAAGTCACTGTCCCCTGAATCGGCCAAATCCGAAGCAAATACTAGCTGCTTCGCACAGGCCTACAGAGTAATACTATCCGGTTTAGAAAAGGAGGGACAAGACTACTGAATTTAATTTAAATTGCAGGAGGATGAAGTACATAGAATGCAGTTATTCAGATGGAAGTTTTATCAGGGCATCGAGCTTATTAACATTAGATCTGCTCAAAGTGTAATGGAAACATGAACTCACCATGAACCCCCTCATTTCCCTCCTTCCAAAAAGACAGTGCTTCTAATAATACAGTGCTTCTTACAACATGCTGGAGTGTTTATTTACTAGTTGCTAAGAGTACCCCAACAACTGACTCACCAGTATCACTTCCTACTGTTATCATGTTTTCCTTTGAGGGCTTAAGCTTGTGGAAATATTCAAATAGTTTTTAAAATTTAATTTCTCATTCCAAGACACAGGTTAAATATATGTTTTCCTTTCAGCCAGTTGCAATTTTGTGAAATATCTATGAACTTCTAGTCAAGTGAATTTCATAAAATAATAGGATTTTTTTTTTTAAACCAGGTTTAAATTACTCAACTACACAAGCCTTTAACTAAAGTTTATACTACACCCGCGTATACAGTGCACTTTAACTATTTGGCATGTACTGGCAAATAGATTTACAGGTCAATAGACCAAACATCCTGATTGTAGCACAGAAATCACAAGAGGTGGCATATGTAAATTTACCCAGATGACTCAATCAACTTATTTTACACTTCTGATACTACACACAAGTGAAAACAGAGTATAACTTTCCAAAGTGTACCTAGAACCACTGACACAGCAATCACGTACACTAGGACCTCTCCCACACTTAAGTTCTTGTGGAAGAAATAAAAGAAAGATCAGAGCTTTGCATCCTGAATACAGCTTTGTTGCTGGCATTGACTCAGCTCCTGGTAAATAAATATTGCTGGATTTTCAACATTTGAGGTTACCAGTGGGTGGGGGTGAATAATATGCAATAATAGCTGCCAAAGATAGGCTGATTGTTTCTTATAACCACATTTTCTCTGGAACAGGTTTGGAAAATCAGTTACCATTTTATGAAATGGAATAGCATGCATTTACGCTCTGAACTTGTGTCTGACCCCTAGGCTGCTTTCTGCTCAGAGGAAGGCCTTTTGTCTCAGGAGGAACTTTATATTTAAATCACAGGGAAAAAATTCCACAAGACTTCATGAGAACTGACAGCCCCACAGGACTGGCAACAAGTACATGGCCTGGTGTTGCAATTGTTTCAGGGGCAACAGGCACAGATGGAGGAATTAATTCAAATACAAACCAAGGAGGCAGAGGCATAAATTATGCTGCTGACCTGACAGCAAGAGCCGAGCAAGAAAATAGAGGCTCAACAGGCAGCAATTCTTCATGCCACTGAAAGTATAAAAATGCCAAAGATGATACTAGAAAACGATCTGGAAGCTTATCTGGAGTCCTTTGAAAGAGCCGCCTTGGCAGCTGAATGGGATTGGACTTGTTGGTCCAGCCAATTAGGCCCCCTCTTGATAGGTCTGGCCCAGCCTACCTACCAGGCCTTAGCCCAAGGTGGAGCTATGGATTACACAGAAGTAAGGAACACGATACTATATTAACTAGAGATCTCCCAAGAGCATCAGCAGCAGAGGGTTCAGGCCAAGAAGAACCCAGAGGAGCAGAGACTGGCTCAGACACTAAAGGACCTGTTGTAAAGATGGATCCAACCTCAGGGAAAGACCATCATAGAAGTTTTGGAAGTTTTCAGTCTACAGCAGTGCCTCACTTATCTGGAGGAAAACTCAAAAATGGGTCCAATGACACCAGCCCCAAACTATGGAAGAGGTTTTACATTTGGCCAAGTCCTTTAACGTAGCGGAAAAAGATGCTGGAAGGGGGAAAGTTACAAAGACAATACCTACCCTGGGAGGGCAATGGGATTGACAGGGAATGAGGAAAACTGAGCCACAGCAGGTCAGACACCTAGGGTTTAGAGGATGGGGATCCTGCCTTATAGTATGTTACCACTGCAGATAACCCGTACATAGTGCAGACTTGTACTCTAAAACCTAGACTTTAATAGGACCTTCACTTTACAAACTGATGCTTTGCAGATAGCATCGCAGGCAGGGCTGATGCAGCAGGTAGAGGACGAAGAATGATCAATTGCATATGCAAGCCAGAAACTGCTAGGCCCGGGGACAAGGTATTACATAATTTAATGTGACTGCTTAACCATAAAGTGGAGCAGTGGACTTTTTCATTACTATCCATTAGGAAGGAAATTTGTTCTGGTTACAGACCATGCTCCCTTAAAATGGCTGCCATCCACAAAAAATTATAACACCTGGATAACGCAGTGGGCCTTGACCCTACAACCTTTTTATTTTTCTGTAGACCACTGACTGGGGAAGCAAAATGTAATGGCAGATTTCTTGCCAAGAAGCTGTGAAAACAACAGTCACCAGATGGAGAGAATGGACGAACACTGAATGAAGCACGCATCACGTAGAGTGTAAAAGAGTAAATATGAGGTAACCTCAACAGACCATTAAAAGACAGGGAGCATGTAACAGGGAGCCACTTCCCAGCCCCTGTTACTAGAGGTATCCCATGTACAACTGGGGGTCTCTGCTTCACTCACCTAGGAGCCATGCCGGGCTTCTGCAATTACTGGAGGCCTCATCCGGATGTGGCTGGGAGCCGGCCCCAATACCAGGGACAAGTGGAACCCCAGAAACTACAGGGTCCCTGCCCAAACCAGTCAGGAGCCATGCCAGGTTCCTGCCATTGCCAGCCAGCTTGTCTGGGAGAGAACCCAGAAGTGTTGGCAAACCCAGCTCCTGGCAATCATGTGGCTGGGGAGCCGGCTGTGACTGGACCCTGAGAAACCCAACAGATTCAAAAGTAAGCACTAAGGCCTATAAACCCCCAGAGAGGGGAGTGCATGGTCTCCTGGAGGAGAGAGGTTCATTTCTGTGAGGAGGCACAGGAAAGGACCAGGAGCATGATGAATCTGGGTCCCAGCCCAGAGGCAAGCCTCAGGTATTTAGAGTGAGCTGGTAAAGAGCAACCGGCAGAGAGTTAGCCACTTAACCCACTGGTGCCAGGATTGGGACACTGAAGCAAGACTCTTCACGTAGGGAGCAGTTGTGAGGCTTCTCAAGAGTAGCTGATGGATGGAGCCAATGGGCTGGTGATAGTGCTGCTAGTCAATAGGATACCACCAGGGAAGGTGCAGATTCAATAAATCTGAAAGGCAATAAATACATAATTGATAAGACATAAATGTGATTTAATTGATTGATGAAAAATCCCTCCTGAAAAGGGCACACAGGAGTTAAACAGTTGGCACTGGACTGTCATGGTGAGCAGCCATAAACAAGGGCCCTTTTGATTGAGAGCATGCATAGAAGGCATGCATAAGAGTTGAAAGGGGCATAAACTAGGACTGATTGAGCCCCAAGAAACTCATGATTCACAAGGGGCTAAACAAGTGTTGAATGACTGGGTGAGCTACTGGTAGAGACTCAGGCACACCTGGTGTCCAACCCAGCAGATGAGACAAGGGCAGAGGGTAGGGGAGGTAGACCCCTGTGAAGAGGACATACTCCCCATCAAAAGAATGTCATTTCAACATTCAGCTTCTCTTTATTCTTTTAACATCAAGGTGTGGCAGATGAGCATAAAGAAGTGGGCAGTGGCTGGGTCATCTTTGGGCAGAGGTGTTAAATTAATCATGATTACAAATCTGATAAAAAACCAACTTCTCCATTTAGATCTGCTTGCTTAATCGTGGAGAGCGTGGCAGGGAGGACATGAATGCAGAAGAAGGAAACTTGAGCAGGAGTTCAGAAGGGGTGTTAGGACATAGTGGGTGCATCTCCACAAGACGTTTACTATGGAGTTGACCAATTAGCTCCACAGTAAAACATCACTGTTCCATCCTAATAGCACCACACGTGTAGGCAAACTAATTAACTCCACCATAGGATAGTACTGCCAGACAGAAGTACTATCCTATGGCAGAGTTATTTACTCCACCGCAACACATGTATAGATGCTGATAGGGCTGGCTGGGGCACAGGGGTGCTTCAGTATAGGGGCTGCCTCCCAATTAGCTGCACACTGAAGCATCCTCATGCCCCAGCCAGCCCCTCCACAGCCTGTTTAGCTGGAGCAAAGCAGTCCCAGGCTGACAGACTGACTCCCAAATCTTTTGCCAGCCAGGGCTGCTCTGCCATGACTCAATGTGCTATGGTCCTGGGCTGACTGGGGTGCAGACGTGGTGCCTGGGAGCAATAAGCTCCATCCACAAGACTATTGCTACAGTCAATCCTGTGAAAGTTTTATATGATTTTGTTCCCTCAATTCTCTGACATCCTTCATTTGATGATTCAATACCTCCACAAGGATATTTTCCCTTTCAGCAAAATAAATTACAGCATTATGAGTAATCTGTCCATGAAATTGGCAAGGCACACTATATATTCAGCTTGCTCCGTGGGTGAACAGTAGTAAGCCTCAGAGACGCAGTGAGTGCTTGACTTCATCACTGAGAAAGACAAGGTACTGTACATATTTCTAGAGATTATTTATTGTCATTCTCATTTTTATTTTTGCACTGCTGTGTTGGCAACTGTAGAGTAAGTACAGACAGAGGGGATTTGAATAGGAAATAATGTATTTTATTGATATGATGGATGCTGTCAAGTGAGGGTTCAAGTTTATTTATTTCTTAAAGAAGAAAAACCACAGCAAGGTCAAAAATAGTCAAGACTTACTCCAGACAGTATAGTGTAATGCAGGCTCAGATATGGATTAATACACACACACATACACACACACTCTCTCAAGTCACAGTGTTCTTTCACAGAGTCTCCTGCTGATATTTGGAAGTTTCTCTTGATTTTGTAGTTTATGTAGCTTCTAACACCTTGAGTCCTTATCTTGGCCTGGGACGTCAGGTTCCATTGCAATGAAAATAACTGATAATAATAACTTTTATTTATAAACAATCCACAACAGAAGCCTTGCTGTAACAGCTGAAAAATATGTCTGTGTGATAAAGGTGCTTGCTGAAGGTTCTATGAAGATTAGACCAAGTGTTTTTTTGTATTTGTTTAGATATTAAGCTCTATGTTGTTGCTAAAAGCCTAATTAAAGTTTAAAATGTAGTAAGGCCTTGTATAAAGTAAAGCCTAATAAATTTAGCAAAGCCTTGAAGTAGTAAGGCCCTGTGGCGTAGTTAAAATTAACCTTATCAAAGGACTGCAAGGCTTGTACTGCTATTGGTCAGTCTAAGGACAGTTAAAGTAAAAAGAATCTGAGTGGCTGTACGGTATCAGTACCATTCAGAAGCTATAAATTAGCTGGAATATCCGGAAATCATTCTGAAGGAAGATACAGTTCTGTAAAAAGGACTAGTTAGCTGTTAGCCTGGATCAGTGGGCCCATGGATCTCAAGGAGCCCAAGGACTGAATTCCAGGGTCCTTCCAGTGCTGGTCGGGGACGCCCAATTTCGCTGAACTTTGTGGAAAGAGAAACCTGTTGTACATCAGGCATCAGAGGGAATTGTCGATAAGTTGCCGACACGAATTGTTCTTGTCTGTCATTGTTTGTCTTGTTATTACGCAATGTTTTTTTTTTTTGTTAAGTCAGTAAGACTTTCTTACCTTTCTACCCCTGACCACACTCTCAATCCCAAACCCTCTGCAGGTGGCTGAGACACCTTGCCATGAAAAAAGAACTGGAAGTCTAGTGACATGAGTGAATACTAATCAGAAAAAACACCTTTCAGAGCTGAGACAGTGTTTCAAGAGATTGTTACAGGTAGAAGGTTTCACAGAAGGAATAGGCTTTCATGAGGCAAAACTGTAGTACAAGGCACTTGACATATATTAGTTCACAGTACAGCCTGAAAAGACTAAAAAGAGGGTTCATTATCACCTGCCCATATTCTGATGGTTGATTAGTTTGACCATTTCTTTTCACTCTTAAAAAAAATGTCTAAAGTGCTTGGATTTGCACAAATAGGAACAAACAATAAGCCATGAAAGATCATATAGGGTTTTTTTAACTTGATCTGGTATTTGGTCTCTAACAAAAGGCCAATATCAAATGTTGAAAAGGAAGGCAGACATAGGTTAGACATGGTACAACCTGCACTAGCCTCTTCCTAACCCTGAAAATATCTGATTAAATCACCTAGGATAAAAATATTTTTATTCTAGGTAAGTTAACTAATTTTCTCAGTCACCACAATCACAACTAATTCTCTTTTGAATCATAGTAATCTCTTTATGACTTGATAATAACTTTTGGCAATGAAGTCCACAAGTTAATTGTGCTACGTGTATTTTGCTTAATTTAGTGTAATTGAATTTTCCTTTTTCCCCTCCTTTTATAAGGAAGGAGTTGTTCTTTATGCAAATAACTATATTCACAAAACAGATTAAGATATTCTCTCTAGAAAAAGAAATGCTGTGTAAATTAAGTGGCTAATCATACTTCTTGAATAACAAATAACAGTTGGTTGAAATGAATAGTCCATAGAGAGCTGACAGACCAAAATGTATTCACTCAAATCCCAGAAGTTTTCAGATATGAAATACTTCTATGAAAGGCACCATTAGTCTTTGCCACAAAAAAGGTCAAGTTAACTATATGTAGAAAGATAGTGCTGTATCAATGATCTTCTAAAAGGGAAAGGTTTTTGTTTTTAACATTTTAAAGGATTTTCAAAAACAAAACAAAAAACAACCCACATACACAACAACAACAGCTGTACAAAAGAAAGAGCAATCCTCAACCCACATACCAACATCAGCTACTAAGGTCCAAACGACTGTTTATCTGCCTGTAGTAAAAACTTAGCCCTTCAGGGTAGCTGTGCCTCAGCCACTTTCAAACCACTTTCATATCTTCAGTAGGAAATAGCTTATCATGATTATCGCCTAAGCCTGTCACCTTAAAATATTTTTCCTCCCTATCTTTTCATACAGATCAGAATAATGGAAGCTTTGAGCATAGCAAACACTGGGTTTGCTCTTGACTTTTTTAGACAGGAATGTAAGATGCAAGCCAACAGAAACATCTTGTTCTCCCCTTTGAGTATTTCATCTACTATGGCCACTGTGTACCTGGGTGCGAAAGGTAGTACGGCAGCTCAGATGGCAGAGGTAAGTTGGAACTACGAAAGGTAGTACGGCAGCTCAGATGGCAGAGGGAAGTTGGAACAATAGGAGCTCTCTGAAAAAGCTGCTACTATTTAAGGGGAGAAAAGCTAACTTAGCCAGAACCATAGAAGAAGGCAAGCCAGTTGCTGGCTTTTGAGGTGTACTGCCCTGTCACTATGCTTAAAGATCTGCCTCTCCTGACCCGCTTCTCCCTCCAGCACATAGCTAGTCTCCTCCAAAATCCAGATGTCAGGCTGGGACCCTTTCCCAAATTGGCCTCTAAGGACCCAGGCAAGGTCCCTTTTCACCAAATCCACACCATTTCCTTTAAATAAACAGAGTTTAGCTCTGCTGTATAGTGTTTGCAGAGCTATGGGTGTTTGCAGCATGTAAATAAGAGAACCGGAGGCAGAGTCCAATACATCAAATCAGGCAGGAGCATCAGTTAAAGGTCCAGAAGTAAAAACTCAAAAATGAAATACTAATTGTCATCAGGAGGTAGGAGTAGGGACTTCCCAACTCAACATGCTGCTTACCACTTTCCTACTATTTCATTGTTGAACTTTAGCTCTGATCATATTCGCAACACATTGCCATAAGAGGTCATTCCAAATCAGAGCAAGCACTGAAGGGCAAAGGTACATGCCTCTCTAGCAACCATGTGTGTTCTGCATGTATTGCAGAAGACTGGAGGCTGGGTGCTTAATTCAGGGCTGTTTGATTCTGCTGTGGAAGTCAGGCACATTCAGGTTAATCAGTAGAATTCTCAGCATCACAGCACTTAGGTTCACAAATCAGAAGCTGTGAGCCAGGGTTTGGGAATACATAGCAGGCAACTGGCAGAGGCAAGAATAGAATCCAGGTCTAGGTCTCCTGCCCCCTAGTTCCATGAGATAATCATAACATCTGACATGTAGAGCAAGTCATCTGCCACAGCAATTATTCTGTTTGCAATTTCGATTATAGGTGCTTCACTTTAACGAAGTTGGAGAAGTTGGAATGGCCACTACCACTACAAAACCACAAACCTATTACAAGATGGAAGAGCTTCTGACAAACCGGTGTATCAGCCTCCAGAAGGTACCATGTCCAAACAAATATCTATAGTCTCCAAGCTATAAGCAGGTTTACGTCTTTCCTATGATTCCTTTCCCTCCATGTTTGAATTTGCTTTGGCTTGTCTTGCTGGCATGAAATATTCACAGTGGGAATACCTACTTGTGCCATTTACTGCAGAGTAGACTAATTAGCTCCACAGTAAAGCATCACCGTCTACATGTGCGGTGCTATTAAGCCACAGTAAACCAACTGCGCTGTAGGATAGCATTGTCTGGGACAACTACTGTCCTACAGCAGAGTAGTTACAGGCAGCAAAATGCACATGTGGATGGTAACAGAGCTGGCTGGGGCATGAGGGTGCTACTGTGTAGACACTGCCTCCCAACTAGCCCTGCACTGGAGCACCCTCATGCTGCAGCCAGTTCCTCCACAGCACGTTAAAGCTGGGTCGGAGCAGCCCCAGGTGGGCAGGCTGACCCCTGGGTCCCCTGCCAGCTAGGGCTGCTCCGTCCCAGCTCAATGTACAGCGGTCTCAGGCATACATGTAAACGCTACATCTGGAAGCAATAAACTGTGGTGCAAACTGTGCCAGAGCTTATTGCTACATGCTAATTGCACATCAAGTCACTGGGTGCATCTACATATGCAGTCTTCTGAGAGGTTTCCAGTAAATTCTTTATTACAAACATTAAGACAAACTTCTCTTTTTTTTTTAAAAAAAAAGTGAAAAATAATGCTGTTTTCTCATCTGACGCCGAAGAGCTATAACCATCCTGTGCTTCTCCGACTCCCCCTCTCTCTTTAGAGTTCTAGTGGATTTTCTCTTGCTTACTACTTTCTGCTTATTAAACAACTCATTGTTAAAAAGGAGAGAGTATGCTTT